CAACTTGTATTCACAGAATTTACAATTGCAAGTGAAATAAGTTTTTCCACAGTTTGTGGGTAGAGAGAAACTCTGCAGAAAATCATTATCTTCTTCATATTTTGTCAAAACTTAATTTTCTTTCTTCCTCAATTTTCTTTCTTTTTATTGTCATTGTTGGGTGATAGCAATCTTACTCATCAAGATTGATAGAAATTCATCACATGTTTGATGGATTTCCAACATCGATGAGTACATCAAAAAAAGCATCTAAATTTGAAGCCTTTGAAGTCGTCTATATATAGATATACAAATCCAAGATTTTTTTTAAAAAGACCAGCCCTTGGAGGAGATTAGGATTATCAAACATTATCAAAACATGAAACAAATAAAAAAAGTGTAAGCTAGGAACATTGTTCTTGTATTTACACCAGTGGTGAAATACTTTTACATAGACCAAACTTACAAAGTGAAGTTGTGAGGGAGCATTCCCAAATGCTTCAAAATTCCAACTTTGAAGTTATTAAAACGGAAGGATGAAGTCCATCCTAAAGAGAAAGCCTTCTTCTAGAGAAAATCCATACACTTCATACTGGCTACACAACCACTTATTGTTTTTGGGATGAGTCACTTGTCGATCTAAATACTGACTAACATCCTGGTGAGCAAGATATATCCTATCTTCACTTATGTACTAGGATAAAGTCCTCATATTTTCACCGTTTACCCATGAATATTATTGAACATCCTCAAGAAGATCGAGAGTTAATGACACCTTTCTCACATATTTGTTTCACTATCAACAAATACATATAATGAGTATGACATATTGGTCATTCTTCTAACCACAACCTAATTTCATCCTCAATAGCCTCGCGGTTGAACAAATGCCTTATACACCTATAAATACTTTGAGTCCTCGATACTCCAAGAGATTCCTACATGTATTGAAGTTGCCACCATAATTTCACCAAAGGTAAACTCAACACCAACCTCTCTCATGTCTATCCTAGTAGGGACACGTTCTTTAATTTTTGGGTTATTCACTCTTGAGTTTGCTACCTCTGGTTACTCACTGGTCTAGTGGTTAAAGGAATGCCTTATACACCTAGAAATACCTTGATCCCATGTTCCTCAAAGAGATTCTTCACAGGTATCAGAGCAGCCATTATAATTTCACCAAAGGTAAAATCGACACAACCTCTCTCATGTATATCCTAGTCGGAACATGTTCTCTACTTTTTGGGTTACTCACTCTTGAGTTTTCTACCGCTGGTTACTAAATAGTCTTGCGATTGAAGGAACACCATATACACCAAGAAATACTTTGAGCCCCCGCACCTCAAAGAGATTCCCAACAGGTATCAGAGAAACCATTAGAATTTAACCAAAGGTAAACTCAACACCAACCTCTTTCATGTTTATCCTAGTAGGGACATGCTCTCTACTTTTTGGGTTACTCACTCTTGAGTTTGCTACCTCTAGTTACACAATAGTCTTGCGATTGAAGGAACACCTTATACACCTAGAAATACTTTGAGCCCCCGCACCTCAAAGAGATTCCCTACAGGTATCAGAGCAACCATTAGAATTTAACCAAAGGTAAACTCAACACCAACCTCTCTCATGCCTATCCTAGTAGGGACATACTATCTACTTTACGGGTTATTCACTCTTAGGTTCTATACCTCTGGTTTTGTCACTTTTAGGTTAATCACTTCTACCTCAATTCAGATTATATGTTATTAACCTCTACGTATCTACTAAGATCAATAAAAGAAATACCTACTTATGGGTTTCTTAAATAAGCCATTAGTGGAAAGCTAATGAAAAACATAGAAGAATAAGAGATAAGAAAACATGTACTTTGTACTTTAGTGAAGGTTATGAAGATTCGAGAGAAAAGTAATTCGATTCGAGATACATGAGTCAAAATCCAACAAACTTTAAACAACAATAGAAGAAATCATAGGAAGAAGAAGAAATTTTGTACTACTCAAGAAGAAAGGAAGTTGAAATTCAATCTAAAATCTCCAATTTAAAGGCATTGAAGAGCTCCAAGATAAATAATGTGATTTTACAGAAGATAAAAAACCACTTCCAACAGTCAAGATGGAGCCTTGATACAACACTCAAGTGAACTCTAGTGAGTCTAGACGCGTCACCCTCTTATCCAAGGCACATAAGAAAACGAGGAAATCTTCCTCGAGGCAACATTTCAGCTACGCAATGGAAATTAAATGCACATGTTTTCAGTGTCATTTACTCCCACTCAATGCAATTCAACAAATCCACTTCCTTAATGGAACATACACTTGGAATGGTCTCAAAAGTTCTACATCAACATTCATCACTTCATCACTAATAGCGAGGACTTGGGGGAAACTATTCTGGGTTAGCCAAATGTCCAATAAGAATGACCCAATTCAATTACCCAATCTAGGAAAAACATACTCCACTAACTAACGTGCAGTTGAACATCTACCATGAAGCCTCACATATAAACATGTATCCCGTTCTCATCTCCACGATTGATATGCATCCAACGGTCATCCGTAATCTAAGTTGGATTAACCGACGACTAATCGTCTACTTTATATAAGTGTGACTCTGAATCACACTCAAGTACTTTTCTCATTCACACTTGCATAATTTCACATCTCTCAAACACTGACTTGAATGTTGAAGTGCTAACCTTACAGGGACCCCATCTCTAATCATTGGGGACTTTAAACAACGTATCCGAAAACTTTTCACAAATGTTATCTTCAACATCTCATCTATCATTTATTTTAGTATGAAATAACATTTTAAATTAAAAATTATCATTGTCAGCATACACGGATTTAGCCTAACTCATTACCTAACCCCTTTAAAAATGATCTGAACCAACCCGATCATTTTACAGGTTGAATTACGTTGACTTTGTAGATTGTATATAAAATAAAAATAATTTTTTGATAAGTTTTTTTTCTGTTCTAAAAATTTTGTGATACAATTCAATACAATTGTTAATTTTTTAAATAATATAGATGAAACACATCATATAATGTCAAATATAATTTCACATTAGCAGATTGTATCAACGAATCCACTGATTAAGACACTCAGATCTAATATCCAAACGAAAGTTATGAGAGTTGTTAAAGATTGAGTCGAATATACTCTCATAAATGAATAAATTAAAGTGATTGATGGATTACTTCATTTTAAATTGGCGATTTCGCACATCAATCAACACCCATGAACACTTTTTGTTCTTTTCCTGTTGGTTCATTACAACTAATTAATTTCTCTTATGCTTTATTTCTTATAAGCTAAAAATATAAGTAATGTTAAAATAGAAGGACTTTAGTATAAGCTATACTCAAAACAACTGCTTCATATTGGCAACTTCTCTGGATTGTTATTTAATTTAATTGGATATTTTATATACTCAATTCAACATTAAAATTCATTTTCTTCCTAAAAAATCACTTTTACATAACATGAATTAAATTGTGTATTGGTTACAGGTTTTCAAAGGACCCTGTTATTTATTTAATCACTATAACATCAACATTAAAAGATTATCAATTAAATTAAATATTATAAGATGGAGATATATCAATTGGAATCTCACCAGAGAATTCGTTACTAGAAAGATCATGCAGCCATAATATGCATCCGGAAAGAAATACCAACTTCTATATTGCAACGAAGATACACCCACAACTTCTATATCCACTTCTTTGCAAAATTCAATGGTTGCTTACACGAAATACTTAGATATATATATATAGAGAGAATCTTCTTTTTTATATTCAACATCAACTATTTTCTAACGTGGTTTCAAAGTTATGCTACATCATTGACTTTATCTTTGTGCTAGAAGTTTCGTGGAATTGCTCATCCAGTGAATCACTAGTTGTAACGGTCAATTAGTTTCATCTTATATTTATAAAATATCAAAAATATCTCTAAATTTGAAGTTTTTCAAATATAAAAAAAAAAAAAAAAAACCATTTTGTCTAAAATAATTTGAGAATTACTTTTTGGTAATGACTAATTTGAGAGTTAAGTAACTATTATTTTGGAATAATATTTTACATTGAATGATCAATTCCACTTTAATTTGCGGGGATTCTGTTTAACGGCAAAATAATTAATTTATCTATACACCATTTTATATTACTCTAATAATTAATTTAAAAAGATCAATTCCACTTTAATTTGTGGGGATTGTGTTTAACGGCTAAATAAAATTCTACTGTATATGTTTATCTCAGAATTTGAGATATGACAAAAAAATTTATTGATAATAATGATGTCTTAACCGTTATACAAGTGAGAACTCCATTTGTTCTAAATAATACGATGTTTTGTCACTTTCACACAAATTAAAAAACATAATTATTATTTTATAGGAAAATGAAATGATATATGTAATAAGAAGATTTTTATTAAAAGTTACGAACTAAGATTTTCTACAATAAAAGAGGAAGAATATTAAATTGATTAAATAAAATAAAGAAAAATAAAAAAAATTATTTGATTTCTTCATATCCTCTAATGTGTCATAGACACTTCTATGTATATAGAATTCTCAATGGATAATTAACTATAAGACTCAAACTCTATTAAAAGTTCAATTTAATAACATTTAAAGATAACAACTAACATAATATTATTAATTAAAATATCTAATTGCACCTTCTATCATTGTCGAATGATTCACATTGAACCTTGTCCTCGAAGTTCTAAAATTACTCCTGAATTCCATTGCTTAAACGGAACAATCATAACAAACAAAGTCCAACCATTAACGTTGTTTCCATTGCAATCACAAACAGATATGCTGGCTTGTCACATGGAACAAAGCAACCAACTTGCGCCATCAAAATATTCACGCCCACTTTCCCGATGAGTGTTGATTTCCCACCCATGTTAGGCCCTATTATTATTTGAAACCAACTTTTTTCTCTGATAAGCTTACAATCATTTGGTATAAAATTCACCCAGTCTTGTGCCTCCACCCAAGGATGTCTCTACCTTCTAAAATAATATCTCCTTCGTCCGATGAGGTGATTTCAGGCCTTGTATAGGGAGTATGACAACTAGAAGCCAGATCAACAAAGCTTAGTAACACATCCAATTCGGAAATTAATGCAACTAAAGATTCAAACACCTCAGAGAAGGTTGCTGCAATTTCCACTACCAACTGTTTTTGACAGCTCTTGTACTCCTCAAGAATTTGTTGATATTTGTCTCCCAGTTTTTTGAGCTTTGTGTTAGTAAACTTCACTCCATCTTTACGGGTTTCAAGTACTATGAATTGGGTATTGAGCTTCTTCCTTATTTTTGGCTCTTCCTTCTTTGTGAATCTAAAAACATGTCTAAATTGTGAGTCCTTATCTAACTTTAATGTCTTATCTATCTGCAGATCAAGATCACCAGCAATTTGTCTGTGCAAGTTTTCTAATAGTAAAATCTCTACCAACGGATTTCAGCTCGGAAACATATAGAGGTATTTTATCAAACACCTCATATGCATTATTTTCTAAAACATCATAAAACAACAATACTTTCGCGTTAGTCTCATACGAGTTGAAAAAGGATGTCGTTGATGGTGATAGGGAAGTGGAGCAAGACTTCAACTCAGAATTTGTATCCTTCTCAACATTAGTCGGAGCTGAAAGCATGTTGGAATTATCCACAACAACTGTGGCACTATTTGTTCTGTTGTTGACAAAAGCATGAGGTAAAGGATCATTAGTCAAATGATCAGCTTGAACCAAAACCTGGGGAATTTCCCGTGAAATCTCCCCGGTTTCAACATTCCAATAGTAATAAAGTTGGCTTTCTTCATGCATCACCATCTTCCATCCTGAACGGACACCACTTCCATCCCGGTCATCAAAATGCTCAAACTCATTCGTTTGATCTTGGGAAACCATTCCATTTTGTATATTACCAAGAGTAACATCACTTCCTATTTCTGCCCGTGATTCTGCAAATTTGCTCGTCGGAGATATCGCCGGCAGTGACGTCAGAGTTATCGCTGACAATGACGCTGGTTAAATGGTTGAGAATATCACCGGAATTTTTGGTTTGAACACTCCTTTTCCTTTTCTGTTCATCCTTCTTTTTGTTCTTTTGTGCATGTCAATCTGAACAGACAATAAAGAGGAGATCCTACATGATTTCTTTTTCATTAGATCTGTTGAATTTAGAATGGATGAATGAAATGAAAATAATGGTAGAAGGTGGTATATGATATGTGTATGATTGTGGGAAAACCGGTGTATAACCATTAAAATACAAATTTTGTGAAGAAATAGGAAGAATTGTATTTGTGGAATAAAATGGAGGAATACTCCATGGATATGACTAATGAGTACGAGGTGAATATTCATGATTTAAATATAAATTTGGTGATGAAGGTGCAACATTGGTGCAACAAGGTGTAAAAAAATTCCATGAAAAAGATGAAAATAAAGGTATGGTAGGAGTCCTCCCTATGGTGGGGTGAAATTGGTATGCCATGGGAGATTTTAATGTTCAAGAATCATAGCACCAATTGATAGGAAGATTCTTACCAAAAACTATGAACTAGGATTTTCTACACTAAAAAGGAAAAAATATTAAATTGATTAAATAAAATAAAGGAAGATAAAAGGCTTTTCATATGATTTATTCATATCCTCTAATGTGTCATAGACACTACATACATATAGAACTTTCAATGAATAATTAACTATAAGACCCCAAACTTTATTAAAGACTCAATTCAACAACATTTAAAGATAACAACTAACATCATATTACTAATAAAAATATCTTTTTTTAACCAAAGTAATATATTAATTCAAAAAACAATACAACCAAGGCAATTCAATAGAATTCAGCCAACAAAGTCGACAAACTAACTATATCAGAAGGCTAGCTATGTGCAGCCTAAGCTTTCTATTTCTCCATCCTCTATCACTATACAACCAATAATTTTCTTCACTATATTTTTCCTATTTGTATTACTATAAAAAATGATAGAATTCCTGTGTAACCACATCTCATGTATGACTTCAGTAAGAGCAATCTTAAGGATTGATGCCCTCCAGCCCTTGCCTTTAGAATTAGCTATTAACCAATTCATCTCAACATTCCATGGCCCCCGATTATGAATGATTCCCAACCAATTTAAGATGGCCTTCCACGTAACAATAGTTTTTCTACAGGCGAAGAAGATATGGTAAGCACTTTCTTCTTCCAAGCCACACATACTACAAATGTTGTCTTGAATAATACCAAAATGCAAGAGTCTGTCCTTTGTTGGAAGACTGCCATGACACAAGAGCCACAACGTGATTTTTGCCTTTAGTCTCTCCATGTTGTGCATTAGCAAACTGCTCCAATTCATCCTGCTAGAATCATCAACCAGTAGCTTATAGACAATTTTCATAGAAAATTTATTCTTCATGAACATTTGATTCCAATGATGATGAATTATGGTTACCAAATGCTTATGATTCATAATTTTTTTCATGGTCCACGTCCAATTCTGCCCAGCTTCAGCTTCCATGACATCACTACCTTTCAGATAAACCTTGTGAATCCACTTGACCCACAAGTTATCACTTTTGTGGCAGATGTTCCAGAGGCATTTTAGCAAAGTAACTTGGTTCCAAACTGTCAGATTTTTCAACCCGAGGCCCCCTTGCTTACTGGAACTGCAAACTTTGCTCCATGCTACTGGACTCTTCCACCTCACATCAGCTTTACCTGTCCAAACAAAGGTTCTACAAACAACATCGATTCTTTTTATCACAACCTTAAGAAGAGGGAAATTCAGCATCCAGAATTGAGTTACATAACAAATAATACTATTAACTAATTGGACTCTACCTGCATAGCTTAGAAGCTTGATAGACCAAAGGAGGATTCTTCCAGTTATCTTATCTATTAAGGGGAGATAGTGAAGTAAGCTAAGTTTCTTACTGCTGAGAGGAGCGCCTAAGTACCGGACCGGGAAATGCCCTTCATCAAACCCATTAGAGGCTTTGATACTTGCCCTAGTCTCCATGTCAACACACCCAAAAAAGAATTTGCATTTACTAGGATTGAAGATGAGACCTGTGGACTGAGAGAAGTTCTTGAAATCTATCATTAAAAGATCAACAGAAACCTGGTCTCCCCTACTGAAAAGGAGGATATCATCAGCAAAAGCGAGATTAGTCAGAGCCAGACTCTCACACTTTGCGTGGTGATTGAAATTTGGATCTTTTTGCATCTTCACCAAGTATCTATTGAGGTATTCAATCATGATTACAAAGAGGAGAGGGGAAATAGGATCACCCTGTCTTATTCCACTCTTTGCCTGCAGAATATCAGAGAAGCTTCCATTAATATTGAAAGTATAGGAAACAGAGGATACCAAATTCATCACCCAGCACACAAATCTGTTTGGAAAACCCATTTCCTTCATAATATTCTTTAGAGCCCCCCCAGTGGACCATATCATACGCTTTCTGTAGATCAATTTGAAACATACATCTTGGAGCGCCGTTCCTTCTATCATAGCCCTTAACAAGCTCATATGCTAAGTGAATATGATTATGAATATCTTGCCCAGTAATGAAAGTTGCTTGGTTCTTGTAAATGATATTCGGCATACTGTTTCTCATTCTCGCTGTGAGGACCTTTGATATAATATTGAGAAAAACAGTGCATCCAGAAATAGGCCTAAAATCTTTTATGCTTTTAGCACTCTCACCTTTAGGAATAAGTGTGACCACTGTTGTGTTAAAAATTTTAAGGATCAAGCCAGTCCTGAAGAATTCATTAATAGCAGCAATGACATCCAGCTTCAAAATTTCCCAGCAATTCTTAAAGATCTTTGCACTGAAGCCATCTATGCCATGGGATTTGTTGTCACCTATATCTTTAAGGGCTTCTTCAATCTACTTATTAGAAACCTTGCTCACAAGAAGATACTTTTGTTCTGTATGTATTTGATTACCCTCCCTCACTGCCTCCACACCAATGTGCTTTATTCTGTTCATATTCTCTCCCAGCAGGCTATGATAAAAATTCATTATCTCTTTTTCAATGTTGCTGCGATCTGTTATGACCTCCCCATCACATTTTTGCAGGAATTTGATACAGTTTCTGCTTTGCCTAGCTTTCAAATAAGCAAAGAAAAATTTATTATTTCCATCACTTTGTCTGATCCAATCAAGCTTAACCCTCTGCATAATTCTATTCTCTTCATGATCATGTATCTTTATGACTTCTTCAGTGAGCATTTTAATATGCTCAATAGCATTACTATCCTGCCTGTTATTTATAAGGTCATTTTGAGCTTTATACAGGTTCTCTCTAGCGGTAATTAGCCTCTGATTTATATTACCATATTGCTTACTGAAACTCTTGATAGCTGTCTTTAACCTATGAAGCTTGTACCACAGAATTTGCATTGGGCTACCTCTTGCAGGTTTATCCGAAGAATCCGTTACCATCTCTTGAAAGCCATTTAAATCCAGAAGATAGTTATTGAATTTGAAATGATTTCTCCTCTTTGCATCATCAGGGCCACTAATATGAAGCATGGAATGATCAGAAACATTGGGAGGCAGAATACTCAAGACTTGATTAGTATGTTGCAAAAACCAAGCAGCATTACAAATGGCTCTATCTATCCTTGAATAAATTGTACCTGTGGCATGTTTATTAGACCAAGTGAAGTGGTCACCCACACTGTCCATCTCAAACAACTCAGTCTTCTTCATCATGTTGGTCAGATCCACATATTCACTTTCACTAACCAGATTACCTCCTATTCTGTCCTGGGCAGTGGCAACATTATTGAAATCCCCTATAGCACACCAAGGTCCAGCTTGAGTATCATGGATGCTATCCATCTTTTTCCACAGATTCCTCCTCAAATCTAAATGGTTATGGGCATATATGGCAGTCATCCAATAAAGGAACTCCCATGTAACAGTATAAACTCCACAATGCACATGTTGACTTGAGTTATTTATCATCTTCATATCCACCTTAGTATCATCCTAGAGAATCTAGATTCTTCCATTAGGATGAGCATTGTAGTTATCCATATAGGACCATTTCATGTTGAGTTTCTCTCTAACTTTGTTAGCTTTGCTTTCTTTTACTCTAGTTTCAATCAAAATGCTTATTGTAGGTTGGAGTTCTAAGAGTCGGGAGCTAATCTCTTTTAACTTTCCAACCTTGTTAAGCCCCCAAACATTCCAAGAGACTATCATGGTCCCATGTCAAAGGCGACTAGAGGCTCTTTCAAACCCCCTAGCACCCCATAACCATTCACACAAGGGATCTCCGAAGATGTACCAATATAACCAGCTGATAGCCCTCTGACTCTGCCCTGTTTACTTATCACAGTCCATATATCTTCATCACTTTGAACATAACTATTGCTACTCTTCCCTTTAGGATTAGAGATTACCTAAATATTCTTTGCTGCCACGGAAGAGTCTATGCTCAAGGTAGTCACCTTCTCAGTTTCAGTACTCTTTACAGTAACTGTAGGCTTTTTCTTTGGCTGCCATTCATTCTTCCTAGTCCTGCCTTCGCAATTGTGTCCCACTGCTTGACATTTCTCACAATATTTGGGCCTCCATTCATATTCAACTCTTTGAATAACAGAAT